ATTTAGCATCAAAACAATGACAAAAAATCGTGACCCAAAAACCATCAACTTCCGCTCTTCTCTTTCCATATGAAAGAATAGAGTGATTCTTCCAATCTCATAAAACATCCAGAGATGCAGTGTGGAGCAGCAGGAGATATCAGAAAGGAGGATGAAGCAGAGTTATGAATGCAGAGTTGAAAATAAGGAAATAAAATAAACTGTAACCATAAAATAACAATATTGGCATAAACATGTTTTCTGAATAGCCCCAGATCCGATGAAAGAAGACCCACATGTCTGTTTAGAAAGATACGTTGGGCCCCAATATTACATCAAATTTAGATATGTTTTTTCATGAAAAGCTAATTAGATTCATTTGATCATATTTCATAAAATGCTACCTGCTCCACCCTAGCTGGACAATAATTGGTAAGATAAACAAGACAGACATAAACGGTATTTTGTGAACACGAGGCACAGCGATTTCACAACTCCAATATGAGCACACGTGGTCCTAACATTCAGTCTGTCTATCCTTTAATTGCCAAAACTGCTGTTCAGTCCATGGATGTTGACCTGCCTCGTGTATTAGATGAGAAATAGGGGTGAAAAAAATGAAAACAACAACCAAATGACAGGGGAATGTGGCTGATCTCTGAACAGCCGCGATGCCATCCATAGACTTGAAGCCCGGCGCCTGTTTGCGCCAAGGAACAGAAAGAAAATAGTTAAACCAAAAGAAAGTTAAAAATTAAACTCACTCAGCCCAGGAAAAAAAAAGTAATTTACAGCTAAGTATCTTATCTAATTACTTAACCTATTATAATGTGAGGTGAAGGTTCCCTTTATTAGGCATCATGAGGGGCAGAGAGTAGATGAACATTACCTGCATGAGCTGCAATAACAGCTCTGGTTGTGACGGTAAAACATAGAAATCCTTTCTGGTTGCTTCTAGCTGGATTTGCATCAAAATAAAAAAAAACATCTGACCCTTAGTTTAGTCAAAATTTTAACTTTTTACTCTTAATGTGTAGAAATACCCTAAAGGTCCTTAAGATCATCAAATGGCTGCAATCAGTGGCTACAGGACTACATGCTGACAAAATAAGTGTTGCTCAATAAAATGGGGAAATTTAACATACCGGTAGTTGCTGGTGTCATCTTCTGTATTGATTCTCAATATTGCTTACGGTGCACAAAGAAATGACTAGCCTAATAGCAATTAATCATTAATCAGTTCCCTCATTTGTTTACTTTTTTACTTTTCTGTACAATATGTGCAATATATAAAATGATAAATTAAATGAATTAAGCCAATATACAGTTTCAATCAAATGAAAACATAAACACTTTTTTATGTTTATAGTTCTAAATAACTATAATATTATTAATGATAAAAAAAATAGACTATCCAAAAAATGTCCAGGATGAATCTCTACATTGAATTTAAGCCCCAAAAGGTTACGCCTTCTATCTATACAGAAAGTATTTTATAGATACTACAGATGCTGTAATCAGTGTTAATCAAATCTCTCATCCTCAATAAAATAATTAAATGTGTTTTTAGGACATTGCTGTTTGACAAAGATTCTATGTGAGTATTTGAGATTGTCTGAGTTTAAAAACTTTCTCTCATTAGAATGATCAAAAATTCAGATTAATATTTTTCTAAATAAACCAGAAGCCTCCTGATTATCAGTGAAATTTATTTTCATCTTTAGCTACTTTTAAAAATAGTAAAGAAAAAAAATTACGTTTTTTTTTAAACTTACTTGTTTTCATTAACATAAATTTACACCAAAGTATTTATTGCTGAAATAATATATGAAAATGTATTTTTTTATCAATGTTTTTTATAACAAGTATATTGTGTATATCTTCTTTAAAGAGGGGAGATAGAGGGATATTTCACCGTCTTCATCCCCTCTTTTAAGAAGCTAAAAGCTCCACCTCCTACACAGAGAAGCAGTGTTTCCAATTTAGACACATCACCCATGATGTATTAAGACCTGGGGTGCATGCCCATTGAATAACAGCTTTCAACAATATTTATTATTGGGTGCAATTGGGAATTTGTTTGAGGGAATAGGAAAAGCAGCCGGGCTGCTCTCTGGTTAACAGTACTGCAGCATGGACACTGTGGTAGATCAACATGATCTGTGACGCTCAGGGCTGACTGGGGGGTGAAGACTGATTTGGAGAAGGGCCCGCTGTCTGAACTTCGCCTGGGTCCCCAAAATAGCAAAGCCCGCCACTGCTGGGAAGGATAAAAAATTATATATTTGCCAGCTGTGGCAATATGTCCTTAAGTTAATTTCATATTTGCAGACAAATCAGCATGTTTTTAACTTTTTTGAACCTTTTACAGAATGTCCAGTTTTCTTCATGAAACAATTACAAAACATGGATGGAGAGGAAGGAGGCACCGTCTCTCTGTACTGTGAACTTTCCAAATCTGGTATTCCTGTGATTTGGAAGAAAAACAAATTACCAATGAGGGCCAGCAAGAAATATGAATTCAGACAAGAAGGCTCCGTTGTTCAGCTTCATATTAAAGATCTGAAACCTGAGGACAGTGGCACCTACTCATGTGCAGCAGGCAGCGTGGAGACGACTGGGGCCGTCTCTGTAAAAGGTGTGTTAAACTGTAAATGTCAAAAAAAAATCTATCATTTCTACATATTCATACAGATAATGACTACATCTGCTGTATGTGATGTTTAACTGTATCCTCAGAGACGCCTCCATTTTTCAAGAAAGAATTGAGAAGTTTGGAGACTGAGGAAGGAGGGGCAGCCTTACTGCAGTGTGAATTATCTAAACCAGGAGTGTCTGTGCAGTGGAAGAAGAATGGACTTCCTCTTAGAGAGAGCAGGAAGTACAAAATAAAACAAGACGGCTGCCTGCTCCAGCTCCACATCAATGATCTAAGACTGGAGGACAGCGGCAGCTACACATGTCAGGCAGGAGATATACAGACAGTGGCTGACTTAATAGTAAAAGGTTTGTTCCTTTAGAGGTCAGCTTGGTGCATATCTACCTATCATCAAGATAAGGCTAATATAAAATCATGTGTTCCATTATTGCATTAGGTGTTGAAGGTATTTTAAAAATGAGGAAAATACTGCTTTATATGAGCTCTTATAATCAGTGCTAAGCTGTAAAAGAAGTAAAGAAGCTGCTAAAGCACTTCATATGTTTAATGTTACCTTCTAATGCCTGAGACAACAAAATATATCATTTTCAGACATTGTAACTTTAAAAAAATATATAAGTTTAAAACTTATTTATACAAGGTACAAGACAGAAAGCTCACATATAAAAAGCAAGTAATGAAAGCTATAGCAAACAATAAAAAAAAGTTAACTTTTTAGATGCAAACATCTATGTAAATTGCACTGAGACAGTATATTTTAATTTCTTATATCAGGGCAAGATGTGGAGTTTTAGTCCAGAAGTTCTGAGCATAGTCCACAAAAAAAGATGGCATATATGAGGTTTGATTAATAAGTTTTTATTTTATCCATTCTAACTTTTTAATATTTTCCCAGAACTCCCACCTTTCTTCAAGAAGGATCTGCAGAACATTAAGGCAGA